AGAAATGTAATATACAAGCAATGCATCACTTTAGTATTGATCAAATAAAAACAAACTAGAGTTGTATGCATTGGTCTAATTAACAAAAGGGGGGAAAAGAATATCCAGAAAGTGTAAAGTTGAGTAAAATTTACGTCATTTTTTAAAAAAAAGTATTCTTTATAAAAATAAGACAATTAAGAATCGATAATATTTTGAGTTAAGATCACATCAGGAAATGGCTTAGCACCCAGAATCTGAAATAAAACAAGATATGTTTCTCCTATGACTTCTCATAGTAAGTTCAGGCCTCCCCTTATTTTGCTAATATATTTGCCTCTGAACAACTGCAATACAAAATGTTTAGTAGCAACCAAGCACTATACATGCATTACTATCAACTTCTACAGACTATTTTTATAGGTTGATGTTCTTGATTTGGCTCTAAATAGACCTAACTTTATAATTATTGGACCATTTGAACGCATTATCATGCGTTAAGAGCTCAACAGAAGAAAATTTTTCTTACCAGCAAGTATACAGGTATAAAAAATTGTAAGCAAAAAACACAAATGGGAGAAAAAATTATCAAAGAGCATTATACTTACAGGTGCAAAAACAACTTGTAGTTCTTGGTTACCTATGCATATCTTTTCACCACCAGTTACTGAAGTGTAGTCAATCTGCCAATTTCCTATACAACATCGCATCGCACGCATTGAGATGAACAAAACATGGGCATCAGGGGCAGGGCATGGATAACATAAACAAACAGAGAAAAAGTACATCGTACGAGCTAAATCACACACATGCGGTGCAGCGCTGCTTAAGTTAGGGAAATGACAATAATAGTCTAAAATGATTGTGATATACTAGATTGTTATATTGATTGTGTGATATTAGATTATTAAGAGTCTATGATCATCTAGGAAAACCCTGAAATGCAGGAGATTTGCGTATCATTATATTAAGAAGGAAGAAAAAGGAGTAAGAACCCTTACAAATAGAAACAAAAAAAAAACCCACGAACACACCCATTAGATTAGGAAGAAAACGATCTCGACCTTAACTAAAGCATCAACAAACAAACCCCGACCCAATAGCTGCTACCCATCATCCACCTTCTGGAGCAAGGGCAAGAAGGTATGTAGTTCCTTGAGCCCCTGCAAACCCCAAAGGTGGAGCTCCTCAACAAGTGTCAGAGCTCCAGCTATGCTAGGAGCAGCACCATCAAACACACACCATTTATGGTGATTCCGAGTCATCCAAGCACCTAAGATGATAAGAGAGTTAGGGCCCTTCCTAGCTTGCTCATTGACCAAGTTCTCATCTCTAGCCCACCATTTATCAAAGGAAACCTCATCTGGCTGAGGACAAAGGATCTGTAATCCAACCTTATTCAGATGTAGCAAACCTCATCTGGAGAAGGTCAGAAGGCTGGCAACCAGCTACCCAAGGTTGCTTGGCTGAACCAGGTGGAAAATGACTGGGATAAGCTCATGTACAAGTCGGCCCTGGACTGGAAGCAGAAGAAATACCCTGACGAGATTCAGAAACTACTGGTGGATGCTTCAGACCACTGTCTGGAGATCAAGGGGAAATGGATCAGTTTCTTAGATTTTGAGAAAGAATGGAATATGTAATCTTTTAGTTGTGGGCGTCTTGTGTTTCCTGTTGAGAGGGTGAAGTGAGTGGAGTTGAGTTTGAGTCGTTTTGTTAAGTCTGGGTGATGAACACTGAATGCTTAAACCCTGTTACTCTGGTCCTTGTGATAATGCTATGGCCGGGGCTTTTGCCCTGAAACTCTAAAAAAAAAGATGTAGCAAAAACTATTCAGATGATTTCCCAATATTCACAGCCAGGTCTAAGTATGATAATCTGACGAGACGTGGAAATTATAAAGAGCGAAGTGAGATTGGTAGTTGGGTTCAGAGTAATAAAACTTGCCAGATACCTCCTCGTTTATTCAAGTATCATGCTTAACAGATTTCAGAACCTCAGAAATAAGGAGAAGAACACATTTCTGCCATGACGATGGCAAGTTTTACAATATTGGCAAAAGAAATCAAATATGTGTAGGTTATCACCTTTCCCAATGCGATCCATTGTACTTTGGTGTGTCAGAAGAACAGCATCAGGATTGCATCTCTGAACGACTGAAAGACCTACAATTTTGAACCAATGAATTCAGTTTGTTTATGATGTATAGCATAGATAGACCTGACAGCAATTGACTACAGAAGGTACTATAGCATGATTGCATTTCACCACCTCGATTTGATACTCCCGGATATGGTCTTAATTAGAACAAAATTGGAATATTAAAGAGCAAACAAAAAGTTCAATAGATATATTTCATCGTACCCTCAATGTGATCATGATGATGATGTGTAACAAGAACTAACAACCTTTTTGGGAGGGAATTGACGAGATCTGCAAGCTGAATATGATAAAAATATAATTAGTCAATAGAATGGAAGAAACAGTACGTGCAAAAGGACAGCTTCTACTCAGAGTAAGCATTCTAATAAACACTCCATGGTGTCTGCAGGTGTGCATACAGTGTTATTCTACAGAAACAGTTGGAACATTTTGAAAAGGTAATGTTTTATCAAGAAGTCTCGTAATGATTTTGTCCCTGGTGTCGTCCTGATCCTTTTGTATTTTTGCTACTTCTACTGTGCTGTGATATACAGAAATAATCAAGCACTATAAGGAAATAAGGACACATGAAGAAGACTGTCAGTACTCAGTAATATAGGTCTAACGTGGAAGGAACTGCAGCAAATACATAAGGGAAAGACACTTCTGAAAATCTAAACAATCCAGTTAAAACAAACAAATCTAAGGTGGGAAATGCACTTCATAAGACAGTGATGTTAAAGATACTTACATGTATGCACATTGGTTTTTCTAAAGAACACAATCTAATGAAATTTTCTCTTACCTCTGCATGAACCTGAGAGCTGCATCCAGGATCTATAAGCAGAGCTTCCCCCGAAGCAAAAAATTCAGAACATGTAGATCCACCAGCACCATTGGTTGATCGTACTACCACAAGATTAGTTGTACGGAATGGCGCTAGTGTCCTACTCTTCATAGGTACAAGTGTTATTCCAGGTGGGTATTCCTATTGAACAATGCATTTCAGGACTGGGAAACTATCTGTCATTATATGGCATGAATTGAAGGGGAAAAAAGGGTGATACCTGGGAGGGCAATGCAGGAGAAGCTGTGCAGTTTGATGACAGCTCCGAATGCAAAAGTCCAATATATGCATACTGTCCTATGCGCTCATTACCTGGCTTCGCTTCCGAAAGCAACCTCAATGCACACTTCTTGGACATCCATTTACATGACTCTGCCATGGGCAACGCATGATGGTCAAGCAATTCCCTAATCAGAAACACTCAAACATTAAGCATCTGACCTTGTAGAGCATCCAATTTCGACTCAAGTGACCCGATGATGTACACCGTGTTAATGCCAGCGTCCGGGCCAAACTCCGCTTCCTCCACAAACTTGAGGAGCCTCCACTCCCCACGCATCCCATCCGGCAAGCCGAATTGGTCAAATATCTACGAGAAACCATCATTTAGAACAAAGTTTGCCAAAATTGAGCTGAGACAGGTACCGTGGGAAAAAATATAGGTCCAAATCGAGGTGCCACTTTGAGAACTAGTTTGCTGTTGCTAAACAACTGTAGCCACGGGTAACAACTGCAACAGAGCGCAAAAATTAACTCTGCAACCCGGCTAATGGGTAGGTCACCTGATCAAGGGCGGCGGACACGTCGAGGCGCGAGAGGTCGAGGCGGCCGGCGACAGAGTCCGCACCGCCGATGGCCACCTCCGACCGGGGTGTCCCCGCGAGTGGCGCGAGGGGCGCGGACGGGAGGTCGTAGAGATCGCTGTCGACGAAGCGCCGGTAGTCCTCTTCCCCATCGGGTGGGGATGGCGGGCGCGGCTGCCGGGCGACGAGGAACTCGCCGGTCGAGGGTACCGTGATCGCCGCCGCAAGCCTGTAGGAGGGCGAGCCCATCTTCTCAGCGCCGCGCTGCTGTGAAATGATCGCTGGTTGTTGGGACTAGCGGGCGGGTGTTTACAGGAGACTAGGCGAGCTCCCTAGCTTCATCCGCTCAGGCAGACGGGGCGACCTATGGCAGCAGACAGCGACCTACACGCTTGGCTGGCGCGTTCCGTGCTTGCGAGTAAACGTGCGCATCCGGAGACCGGAGGACAACGATCGCGGCCTGTCCTAGCTTCGTCGTGTTCTGCTTAAAAGTCTCACGTCAAATCCGTCATCAGTATTTTCATGGCTTATAAGGCCCCGTTTAGATTCAAAATTTTTTGATTTTGGCTCACTGTAGCATTTCGTTTGTATTTGATAATTAGTGTCTAATTATGGACTAATTAAGTTCAAAAATTTCGTCTCACGATTTCTCACCCAACTGTGCAATTAATTTTTTTTTTCGTCTATATTTAGTACTCCATGCATGTGCCGCAAAATTCAATGTGACAAGTACTGCGCAAAAATTTTTGAAATCTAAACAAGCCCTAAGTCAAATAAACCCAAACAAACATAATATGCTGCATTTCCATCAACAGGAAACGCAGTGGGATACCAATCGCAATATGGATCCAGATGAAGAGCGAGCGGGACTTTCTACCATTTTTAAAAAAAAAAACATTCTATTTTCAGGAGACGAGAGTTCATCTATACACGAGAAACGACAAAATTTGAGAACAATGAAAAACATATCTCCAGAAACATCGACAAGTTCATGGTTTCTGAATTCTGATTGATGACAGGGGAGTAGGGGAAGCACAGCTAAACTACTGCTCGAACACAACCCCTCACTGCACACACCAGGTCACCTACGATTGGCATTCTTGCCGTTCGCTTATTTCTGAAACTACATGAAACTGGAAAGAGTCTCCAGGTCCAAGGATGCTCGGTTATGTGCTTGGCTGCATTCTCAATCACCAAAACGGCGCCGCAGCATGACTAGCAAAAGCACATTATTCTGCCACACTTAGTTCCCGTTCAATCTCTTCAAGTGATCGCCCCTTGGTCTCGACCACATTCCCAGCTATGTAAAGAACTGCAAGGGCGCACACTGATGCAAATCCCAAATATACATTGTTGATCCCGAACTTGTTGACGACACTCAAGAAGTACAGGCCAATAAAGAAGTTGGATACCTGAAAAAAGAAAAAGAAAAACAGGTTAAGGACTCAATGGTATAAGTAAAGCCAAGGTTAATTACTTAATTATGGTAGTGTTCATCATCTTAGCAGCTAGAAAGGATTTCATAGAATTTAGAAGTTTGAACAAATTTAAGGGCAAAAGCTTCAAAAAATCTAGATATTGACTAACATACCTCAGGTGAATAAAACATTTTTTAATGGAGCGAATGGGGAATGGCTGAAGCTTTTACTAGTAATGACTTCAAAGTTCAAACTAAACCTATCTACCAGAGCAATCCATATTAATCAAGGACGATAAGAAGACGAACTTAACATGGCCAAACATTCAATCAATCTCTATTCACCAGAGCAATTATCTTGCCTTGTATTTTGCAAAATCATGTGTCGCAAATTATATAGTGGAATGAGAAAAACAAAGCAAGATATACCGCAACTTAGGACAACTATATACATTTGGTATTAGCGTATGTATGAACAGTTGTGACTCACCCAGTGCATGCCTAGAGATAATGCAACAGCCTTGGCCCTTATTCTAGAGGCAAATATTTCAGGAAGAAGTAGGGCAGGAACAGGACCAGCTCCTAGAGCAAAAGACAGCACATACCTGCACAAAATCATACTCCAGTTATATCAAGCATTCAACTTATACATTCAAATAGAATCAGCAAGACCAAACAAGATGAATCATTAACAACTTACAGAACAGTGCCAACAACAGCAAGAGTACCAGAATAAGGTGCCAGAGCTTTCCAGGTGAAGGACAATGCTAGGAGTAGCATTGAAGCACCCTTCAAGGGAGAAAAAAGTGAATATGAACCCTCCATTGCTGATTGAGTTGAAATAAACACATGATTTGTTGAACACAAGGGCATTACCATTCCAGAAAAGCTTGTTATCAGAAGACTTTTCCTTCCTTGCTTGTCCATTAGAGAAGATGCAATCATGGTGCCTACAAGTAAATATATACCCCCATCAGAAAACATGTTCTGTCAATATTAAAATCTTGTTACTAAAAAGTAAACTTACCAAAAACATTGGCTGCTCCAACAAGAGCACTAGCAGCAACATCAGATGCAATGCCTGCACTGTGGAACACCGATGTAGAGTAATATACAACGGCGTTTATACCAGCAAGCTGCTGGAACAAAAACAGTGCTGCCCCCACACTCACGACTGCAAATGAAAGATATATCAGAAAACATGTCTTGTAGCGTCTTCACCATAGTATCAATTCCTTGACGTTTTAGGTTGTATGCAGTCAACATATCAAAACTTTCATCATCAATTACTTTGTGTACATTCAATTGAATATTACAAATGCTAGTAAAAAAAAAAAGATTTTAATAATCGTACAATTTTGCTATGGTTTCTCAATGTTGTAAAGGACAAACTAGTAGTCAAAGTTGTGTCTTTGGGGATGTATCAATGTCCACAACATCGCTTTTTGGTGACTGGAGGAAGTAATATAGGTTGTTCAGATGTAACTATGAGAGATGACATATGTGCATGAAACACAAGGCCATTGCAAATGTAATAGCATAAAATCCATTAACATACTTATTTTCCTGATAAGTAATGAATATGCATTTTTGTTTCCATAGACATGACTTAAATTAAGCAATTGATATGCACCAAACCACTTTCATCCCATTAAAAATCTTTGGAATTCCAAGAACCATCAATTTCTGGTAAAGCGGCAGATATTTCCATCAAGTTATTAACATCATTATATTGGATGATGCTAGCAATAGAATGGAATGAGAAGAGAAAATAGTCACAGAATATTTCATCATGCAATTATTAGGGAACCAAATTTGTCAAAACAAAACTACCTTTCCAGTAACGCTTGCTGAAAAGATCAAACCAGCCAGCTTCGGGTTCAGAAGAACTTTGGCCACTAGCTCTCAGATCATACATAATTTCGGTAACCATTTCTTTTCCATACAGTCTTTTTACAGCTGATTCTGCTTGAATAACCTTTCCTTGCTGCAGTTAATGTCAGAAAAGTAAATCTTGAGTATTGTGCCACAGTCTGGAGGCCAAAGTACACAGTATGTTCAAAGAATTTGCAAACAGAAACCTGGAATAGCCAACGAGGGCTTTCAGGCGAAAAGGCCATTCCTACAGCCAGCAAAACGGATGGAACTACAGCAATTCCAAACATTGTCCTCCACCTGATTAATACAGTTACAAATGACTAGAGCATGAATATAATCCATATATCATATGGAATTTGTTGCCATATGAATTGCATATCTAGATGTAATTTATAGGATAGAAAGGTTGAATAAAAAATGTGCAGTTCTTCCACTGTCAATATTTCAATATTGCTTCCGTTAATCAAGAAGTAAAATGAAGCAGGGAAACAAATGAACAAACTAATGGAGAACTTACCAGGCAGGATTTCCTGCCAAAGGCAATCCAGCTAACAAAGCTGCAAGAATTCCAATGCAGATAAAAAGTTGATTAACAGAACCAAGCGTTCCACGAATTTCAGTTGGTGAGATCTGCAAAGTACAAGAAGTTCATTTGTTGGAGATGTTCGTTAACACAGGCAGTAGCTATTGAACAAAGACAGAAGTAACTGTAACATATCACAATAGCATTAGGTTTTGAACAAAGCAACTGTCATTTCAACATATCACAACCTCAGATATGTAAAGGGGTACAAGAGCAGATGAGATCCCAATACCAATTCCAGCAAGCAACCGACCAATAATCATGGTGCGGATATCTTGAGCTGTTGCACTGCAGATGTTTCTGTGTCAGTTTCATATAAGATTGTGTACTTACGAGTTACAACTAAATAGTTCAAAACACACCTCAAGAATGCACCTAGAGCAAGCGGGACTGCATCCAGGATGAATGTTCTTGTCCGCCCAAATTTATCTGCCAAAGATCCCCCGGTAAAAGAACCTAGTGTTGCACCAGCCAGGGATGTGCTAACCACCCATCCTGAGTAACAAACAGATGTCTAGTGAAGGATATATGGCAAAAAGATATCTCACAGAAGCAACTATAATCATTGAGTGATTATAGTCATCTATCTGCTACTTTAGAAAACATGCCAATTGTATGCCTTGGCAAAGAAAGCATCGCACTGCACAATCAATCCAAGTGCCAGATGTTCCTTTACAAACACGGAGAAAAAGTATGTGTAAGTTGAGCATGTAAAAGTATGTCATACCCTGTAAGACAGCATTTTCAGCAATCCCAAGATCCTTCGCGAGATATTCAAGCGCGCCATTGACCACACTACATTCCATGAAATGGATTCCTGTTATTATCTAACAGTTTTTGTGCTCACAAGAAAAGTGCAGAAAAGATGGAACTATTTTACTTTCAGCTTGTTATTCATTTTCTTCATTTAAATTTCAGTAAATTATGCTTTATCCAATTGTGTTTAAGAAACAATCATCTTGTAGCCACGATAAAGTACATACCCAAGATGATAACCAAACAGAATAGCCCCCAAACAAGCAACACCAACATATGACAGAACATGTCCTGAGGATTTAACTTGAACCTTCTCCAGTGGAATATCTTCAGGGTCAACTGTATAAGATAGTCAAAGCGAGAGATTAGCAGGGACTAAACACCATTTGCTATTTAAATTTGCAGCAGAAAAGTTAGGTGCACATGAAAAACATCTGCAACACCGAAGGTGATACAGTAATCTACACATCATCTTACGTTATGGGTCACACAAAATACGTGGACTCTATAATCATGCAGATTCCTCTTATGCAAGTATTCTTATCCACTTTCTCTGGTTTCTAAAAAGCGACTTAATTTAATTGCGAGTGGCAATGTTCCTCCTGCCTTTCTTAAAAACAAATATTTGAAACTCAGACAGCACTATTCAACATTACACATAAAATTTGCATTCATAGTAGAGACATTCAGCTCAGGATCATCGCTCCCACATGGTTGAGAGGGACCATACCAAATATTATGACGCCTCAAAAACCTGAATCAAATAATAAGCACGGCAGGTCCCCAACCAACCACCACCCAGGACGATCACATCAGCTTATTCAGATAGTGAAAATGCACACCGTTTCCATGAATCCCCAACGCAAACACAACAAAATTGCTGAGCATAAAACAAGCACTACCAAATCCATCGACCTCCAAATCCAATACCACGATCCCCTGGCAGCTGGCACAGAATCTAACCGCAGTCAGCAGTTACAGTACCCCTCTCCCAGAACCAACGGCCCCGGTACCACAAGCGTGTGTTCGTGACACCAACCCCAACCCCAACAGCATCGATCCGCAACTCCAATGCATCAATCAATTCGTAGCTCGAGAGTCGAGACGCACCTGCGGCCGTGGCTTGCAAGCGCCCATAGCGCGGGCTCGCGCGGAAGAGCCCCCCGACGCCGCCACGAAGGCTGGCCATCTCGAGGCCGGCGAGATCCGCCGCCCGCAACCTCAGGCCGCCGCACCACCCACCACCGTTGCCCGTCGGCATCCGCACGCTGCAGGGGTTGACCGCCGGCGACCTCCGATCGCCGCTCCACGAAGCGACGCACCCGGCGCCCGTTACAGCGCAGCGTATCATCCCTCTTCTTAACGATGGTGACTGTTCCTGCGATCGCACATCACCACCACCACAAAAAATTACATCTGTATATAATTAAAAATAGGTTAAAAAAAAGTCGCCACAATTTAGTGTTGATGAGTTGACTAGTGGCAGTGGGTACTAGTAGCAGTTCTACGTTAGCTTGCAGATTAGGAAAACGACTAAAATTTAATCCGAGACCTCGCGGCCGTACCTTCGATTAGAAGCTCGGAAGAGCGGCGAGGTCTCCGTTTGGGGATTCGAAATGCGATTATAAGATAGGACGACGAGGGAGACGAAGAGGACGATGCCTTCGCAAGATCCGATAGTTGCGAGGCAAGCAGCGGATGAGGCCGGAGCTTGCCGAATCCTCTCCTCCCCCACTTTTTTTTTTCAGGTTTCTTTTGGCACGGCTGTTGGTGGCTACACTACTTGAGTTGGAGGACTCGCCGTGCTGGCAACGACGTCGACACGTGCACCGGATAAGAAGCGTCCGAAAATCGATAACATCAATTTTTTATCGGTGAGCGCCGGATGCCACAGGAACAGTCTGGGTGCACCATGGCTTCATTGGCAACGGAGAAAGCGATACCCATACCCATGCGGCCTGGTAAGACGTGTGCTTCAACATGGCCCAATTGAAAAGCTACAGTAAGGCAACCTCAGACTTTGGCACTTTGGCACTTTGCCCAGTATCAATATCAGCTCGGCCCGGCACTTTGCCCAGTCGTTCCCGGCGAGAGCGTAAGTTTTGGCTTGTCGTAATACATTATTTTTTTATTATGTACGAGTATCTACTAGACATAGTATATATATACTATATATATATGTCTATATAGGTGCATAGTAAAACTTACATGTATCTAGAAAATTCAAAACGTTTGTTTTTTATGCTAATTGAAACGAAGGGAGTATTATTCAATATGCTGATTTTCTTTTTTTCGTTTATTTTGTTCAAGTTCAATTTTTGCATCCTAGTTACATCCATATAATTCTTTGATGACCAAGCCTCAGCCGCTCGGTTGCTAGTATTTTAATTATTAAGTACTGTACGGATTAGTGTGAAGTAACAGAGCTCAGCAGAGACATGTCGCACACACTGACAGTACTGCCACGGTAAAGAAAATGCAACTTAAATTTAATTCTAAGTCAAAAGATCTTAGAGTTGAACAAGTTTATATAAAAAGTAATACTAACATAATAATATTAAATTTGTGTCTTTTGTTGACACTCGAAATTGCCCCAAGGAGGTTAATTAAAGGTTTTCTATGAAAAAATAGCTAGGTTGGGTTCAAATTTTGGCATGGTCAGGTCTCGTAACTTTGTCAAAATATAGAATGAACTTCACCATTGTTTTTCTTTCTTCCAAACAATAAAAAAACATATATAGAACACTTATTTTAGAGTCTGAATGAGAAAATTATGACTTCGGAAAGATTCACCATGTAGGCAAATTATAGAAAACATGCAGTATTTGATAGAGGTTTAGATAAAACCACCCTTTCTATATATGAGAGGCCCATGATTGGTCGAGACATCAAAACAATAAAAACACAACCAATCTAATATTAACCCTACCTTTTCCAACCTTCTACAAGCATCTCGACAACGTTTAGGTAGTATTGCTGACCCTAGAATAACCCTAGATACGCTTTCTCGATGGGCTTCTTCCCATGAGGCGTTTCTAGGTTTTCACCGCGGTTGACCTACAAAAGTCGGCTAGGCTGATTTTCCCTGCTAGGTTGTGAATTCGATTCTCAAGTGGTCTGTGTGATTCGGGCATGGCCGTTTGAGTATGTGATCGATCTTTGCGTCAACATAATTTTTTTAGGACTCTGTTAAGGACGAAGATGTTTTGGTTTTGATGGCCGAAATCAACTCTAACAATATGTTGTCACTTGAAGAATTCGTTGAAGAACTGGATAAGGAGTACATGCAAGAATTTAAACAAGCAACTACAAGATTGTTTATGTCCTGTTACAAGACGTCGTTAAGGTAAAAGAGTGCACCAAGTAGATGCAATATTCAGGTACATTATCTAGTCATCCATCCAATCTCATCAATATCATGTTTAATAAGATGATTAGGATCCAATTCCTAATATTCAATTCGGCTATTGAAGAAAATAAATTAATTAGTAGATCAACTGAACAACCGGCTATTGCTAATATTAATACAAAACTTGTTATTATTGTTTAACGTTGCAAAATAGACCAGCTACTAATGTTGTTGGCCAAGATTCGTCCGTCTCAAGCCAAATCTAATGTAATTAGTAACGAAAATCTAAAACCTTTTGAAAAAACATAGAGCCTACATCCAGTACTTTTACATTCGAGGGCAACAAAGAGAGAATTTGCCTAACCGATTAGATTCAAATCGGTGTATTAAAGTTGTCGGTGTTTCGGACCGGGGGGTCCTCAACCAACCAGTGAATTTATTCTGCGTGCTCCCGATCCGGATGGTGATGCAAAGAGACACAAAGTTTATACTGGTTCAGGCAATCGAGGCCCTACGTCCAGTCTGAGAGATCGATCTTGTATTCCTTGCACCGAGGTGCTCGTAGTAGGGGGTTACAAGCTAAAGGAGAGAGGGAGCTGGTCCTAGGTCTCGGCAGGGTGTCGTGCGGGCCGCTTGAGACGTTGCTCTCAGGCGGCAGGAGTGTGCGTGTGTGTGTGTGTCACAAGGTGTCCCTCTCTCCTTTAAACAGCCCAGGTCCTCTCCTTTTATAGCATGAAAGGAGGGCTAGGGCGGTACATGAGCTAACTATACGGTGTCGTGTGAACAGAGGCGGCGTGTCCGGGCCCTGTAGCTTGTTCCTGTGGCGGTGTGGCCGTCGGAGTGGTCCGTCCTTGGAGCACTGGGGCAACGTGGCCGTCCTATCAGATCATGTGCGTCGTGGGAGCCCCGGGACTGCCTCGGAGTGGGTGCGGCGGTGGACGTGCAAGCCATTGTGGACGGACTGCGCGCGAGGCCGAGACTTGGTCGGTGTCGAGGCTGCACCATGGTGGAGGGTCTCGGCGAGCCACGATCCCCGGATGGCCGAGACCTTGGTGTACGGTGCCGAGGCCTCGAGTGGGCGGTGATCGTGGGTGCAGTGTTAGGACACGATGGGCGGTAATTCCCGCCGCACTGTCCCGGCCGGTATGTGGCGCCGATCGTGGATCTGACGTTAGGACACGATGGCCGGTAATCCCGCAGTACCCTATCCCGGCCGGTATGGCGCTTTTATGCGACCTTTTGGGTCGCGTCGGCCATTCTGTGGCGTTGAGCCATCGTCCGGCTGAGATTGCGGGAGTGGTTGAAGCATTAATGGGACATGACACGTTGTCTGGAGGGTCGGTCGAGGCGGGGGGTGACGGGCTGCGGGCGACCCGGCCTCGAGCGACATGGAGGCTGGGGCCTCGCGCGAGGCGGAGATCGGGTTCCTTGCCGAGGCCTTGCGAGACGCCTCGCGACACGGAGAATGTACCCCGCCGAGGCCTTCCTGGAGAGCCTCGAGCGAGGGAGAGGCAGTGCCCCTGCCGAGGCTCGGCGCCCCTGCCGAGGCCTACACTGGGAGCCTCGTGCGAGGCGGAGTTTGTTCCGAGACCTCCTGCTCGAGGCTCGAGGCGAGGTGGAGGAGGACTCGGTCGTGGCAGGTGAGGGGCCCACGGCTTACCTTCTAGCTTTATTTTGATGTTTGCTTGGGGTACCCCATTCTAAGGTACCCGACAAGTAGCCTCGAGCCTCGGGGTGAGTGCGTGCACTCTCCACGAGGGTTCGTCGAGGCTGGGTTTATGCCTGCTCCGTAGGAATTGGTTTGTTTTTTCGAGGTTCGGTGGGTGACGAGCTGGCACTCCGCCGGGTAGTCTTCGAGCCCCTGGAGGAGTGAAGTTACTCCTCCAGGGGCTTTCTCCATTTTCGCGTTTGAGTGATCAGTTCTTATTGCATTTGCCGAGCCCATAAGCGCAAGTTCGGTTGCGGGGGTCTCGGCGAGGTTGCAAAAAAAAGGCCCTCTAGCCTCCTTGACACGGCGAGAGGAGGTTCGTCGTGGGTCCCCCGACTTTGGGTATGTCCCTCACGCTTCCTTTTCGCTCGGAAGGAGGGGTGGAATATGCCATGCTACCCTCGATGGGCGCGAGCGTGGACACTTTCGGTGAGTTGTTATCGGGTAGTCCAGTGGAGGCCCGAGCCCCGTTCGCTAGGGGACGGCTAGCGGTCGAGAGACGACTCCAAAAGTACCAGAGGATTTCTCTAGTGGGTGCCGAGGACGTCATTTGGGCCTCGGTGGCTCAGTGCCTCCCTACGGTGGGATCCCATTCGGATACTTTCCTGTCGGTCTCGGACATGACTTAGGACGCCCCGAGCGACTGTTCGTTCGGAACTGGGCCATTCGTAGGCTCGCCCCGAAGTCGTCCCTGACTCTGTTGCCCTTGGGCGGCTGTCGAAACCTCTTGGAGGCCCAGCCTTCGAACCCCTGGACCGTGAACGGGCTCGGTGCCCTTTATCGTGTTTTTGTCTTGGTTTTTGGGTGCAAGAGGAGCCCCGAGCCTCACTTTGGAGCAAGAGGACGGTCGGGGTCTCTGACTTTTCATTCGCCCCTCACATATCCTTTTCGTTTGGATGGAGGGTTTGTTTGCCGAGCCCATTCTGGTCTCGGCAAGGTCGCAGGAAGAGCCCCTAGCCTCTGCGCAGAGCGAGAGGGCCGTCGGGAGTTCCCCTGACTTTTTATACGCCCCTCGCGCGTGAGGGTTTGTTTGCCGAGGCCCCTTTTGGGCATGGGCCCGAGTTGTGGGGTCTCGGCGTATTTGCAGGAGGAGCCCCCTAGCCTCTGCACAGGGTGAGAGGGCCGTCAGGGACTCCCCTGTCTTTTTGTACGACCCTCACGCTTCCTTTTCGCTTGGAAGGAGGGGTGGAATGTGCCTCGCTACCCTCGATGGGCACGAGCGGTGACACTTCCGGTGAGCTGTTATCGGGTAGTCCGAGTGGAGGCCCGTACCCCGTTCGCTAGGGGACGGCTAGCGGTCCAGAGACACACTCCAAGAGTACCAGAGGATGTCTCTAGTGGGTGCCGAGGCCGTTCGCTAGGCCTCGGTGGCTCGGTGCCTCCCTACCGTGGGATCCCATTCGGAGACTTTCCTCCGGTCTCGGACACAACTTTGGGCGTCCCAAGCGTTTCGCTTGCTTGGGCCTCGGCCCTGTATGGGCTCGCCCGCGGTCGTCCCTGACTCTGTTATCCTGGGGCGGCTGTCGAAACCCTTTGGGGTCCAGCCTTCGAACCCCTAGATCGTAATAGGTTCAGAGCCGGATTCCTTCATACGAAAGGAATAGGCCGCAGGGAATATCTTCCCTATTGGCTCGGGCGGCGTGCCTTTTGAGGCAGTTTTATTGGGAGTCAAAACGGTACCTGCTGCCATAGTGGCCGAGCGTGACGTGGTGGATGGGACGTAACCGTCCTTGCATTTAATGCGGGAGACGTGGGCGCATGGGCCGGTGAAATCGGCTCGTGGTTAACCGCGCCAGATTGGGGGAAATCTCCCCGATTTCATCATCGCCATTCGTTTTCGCCTCCTCCTGCATAAATACCTGTGGAGTTTGCCCTCCTCGTCTTACCTTGCTCGCA